ATTGTAGAATTCTTTGAAGTGACTCCCTAAAGTTTCTTGAGTCCCAAGTGTCCCAGCTTGTCCTTTAACCCTACTTTGTTCATGATCATTGACTGCAGTGGATGCTGGGTGCTCCTGAAAGGCCCTGGGATGTTTGGTTTGGCAGGGGAACCAAAGGACGCAGGCTGGGTAATATCTGCATCCAGGGTGGGAAGGGAATTCAGGCTCCTGGGCCAAGACTGTTGCTCAGACATCTAGATCTGTTAGCCCCTTTGGGAGAGGCTAGACCCTGCTAAAGGTGGCCCCTTTGCATAGTGAAGGTGTCCTACACAAGCCTCCCCAGTCTCCTATGTTGAAGCTCCCTGGATCTTTATTAGAATGGTCCAAGTGGCAGGGTTTGGTAGACCCACCAGAGGAAAGGGCTCAGGGAGGGCTCCACAGATGTGTACAGCTGATGTTTTCCCTCCCGGATGGGGAAGGAAGGGGAGAGAGTCTTGGCTCTTCACTCTAGGGGGACTGTGTGGGGCACTGAAAGCTGCTCCATCTCTTTTATTAAATTACCTGGGGCGAGAAGGCGACAGACAGCTTTACTGCCTGCCTAAGTCCATTAGTATAAGGACCATGACTCTCAAGCATGATTTATACGCATGCATAGTGGCAGAGTTGAGCCACAGGGTTGGCCTTAGCAAGGCTCCTTCTCTGATGGAAGAGGCTGAGTAAGAGCCCAGAATTTGAGCCCTCTCTGAGCCTGACCTGAACATGGCTACTCTGACCATGGTTTCCGGACAAAGACATTATCTTTTGGAGCCTGAACAGAATCTAAAGCTGTCCTGATGTTGGTTGTGGCAATTTCCTGGTGAGGGAGGCAGGAGGGAGGGGTGTGTGTGTGTGTGTGTGTGTGTGTGTGTGTGTGTGTGTGTGTGTGTGTGTGTGTCTGTAAGGAGGGCGTTAAAGTCATCTATAGGCAAACCTTCAGTAAGAGATTAGTTTTGTGTTTTAAGATAACAAATCTTATACCCAACTTGGTATCCTCACCAAAGCACTTAGCACAGTGCCTTTATGTGCTTAGTAAATATTTGTGTATTAGGGCTGCCCAAGGCAGAATATAACAAATATATATTAAGCACCTACTATAAACATCACAAAAATAGCTTTATTTAGCTATTTTTATTATCGTTGGTCCTAGGAGCAAGATCCTTAACTGGGGTCCCAGTCTCTAGTGCCAATTCTTCAGACATTCAGTGCTGTGGTGGGGGAGGACACATGACAGTCAATCAACGAGCATTTATTAAGCACGCACTGCATGCCAGATACTGTTATTAGGTACTGGGGATAGATAGAAAAACCCAATGACAGCCCCTGCCCTCAAAGAGCTTACATTATATAAGAGGAAAAAACAAATACATATAAATGTATATACGTGTCTAGGCACACACACACGGATGTTTACACAAAGGTACATGTATACACAAATATATGTGTTAACACGCCCACGTACGTGTATATACACATATACACACATGTATATTTTAGGGAGAAGGGCACTAGAGCTAGAGGAAATCACACTAATGCTGAAGTGTTTGGATAGGGAAAAGTCATCATCTTTTTAAGTTTTTTTTTTCAATTTCTTATCTACATTATAATGACCAAGAGTTGGGCAATACAACTGTCTACTCACTTCTTTGCAGAGGTGGGTGACTGTACTGTCAGCCACAGCTGTTGCATTGGTTGGTTTTTGATGAACTGCTTCCCCCACTCCTTTTTAAATCTTATTGACAAGGGATGGCTTGCTGAGCAGGAGAGCAGGGAAAGCTACATTGGGAAATGAAGGTGTTACAAAAACAAAATATTGCTAACAATAAGATTTTGAAAAACATTCACCTATATATCCTTTTAGACCAATGACGAGGTTGTTAAATTTGATTTTATGATGGCACCCCTCCCTGCTTTGGCAAGTCTGGTGAAGTCTAGGGATCCTTCCTCAAAATGTTTTAAAGTACATAAAATAAAATAAATAGGATTATAAAGGAAACCAAAAGTTAGTGAAAATAAAGATATAATTTTCCCTGTCCAATTTCATGGAGCCCCTGAAATTTTGGGGTCCATGGACCCCAGGTTAAGAACCCCTGTCTTAGACCCAGTCAAATGTACATGAAAACATGAATCGATGATGATATAATGACCCTCTTGGAATAGAACCACAGAAGATGAGAAGTGGAAGGGAACTTCCTTTACTAGGAATCCTCTAATCCAGGGGTGGGGACCCTGTGTCCACAGAGCAATGTTCTGTGAAGTTTGGATTCAGTCAAAGCGCCAAACTTGAGGACCTAGAGGGCTACATGTGGTCTCTAGGCTACAGCTTCCCCACCCCTGCTCTAATCCAACCTCCTCTTTTTACAGAGGAGCAAACTGAGGTACAGTGGATAGAGCTGGTGGCACAGTGGCTAGGGTACTGGGTCTGGGGTCAGGAAGACCTGAGTTCAAATCCAGCCTCAGACACTTACTAGCTGTGTGACCTTGGGCAAGTCACTTAGCCTCTGTTTGGCTTAGTTTCCTCATCTATAAATTGGGGATAAAAACAGCACCTACCTCCCAGGGTGGTTGTGAGGATCAAATGAGATATTTGTGAAGTGCTTGGCATATAGTAGGTGCTATATAAATGTTAGCTATTATTATTATTATTATTATTATTTAAAGTTACCACAGCTAGGTAATAGCAGAGCTGGAGCTAGAACCCAGCTTTCCTGACTCCCAGTCATCTCTCTTTCCATTATCCTTTCCAGCTCATTTGGGGGCGGTTTCAGCCATCATCCTTCTTCTTTTTTAACTCCCTTGTACAGGTACAGGCCAGATCAGATCGTAGCCTAGTATCATCCTCTCTACTTATATCAAAGCTTCTGTATCCATTCCAGAAGGCTTGTAGATGGTTGAGCCCGTTATACATTTTTGTCATGTTCATTCATTCATTCAGCAAATATTTACTGAGATTCATCCATGTGCTGACTGAGAGAGGTGAAGGGAGCGTGTGATGTGTGTATATGTGTATGGGGGAGGGAGGATACCAAGATGTGTATTTACTATCTTACAGCTTGTAACTAAACCCTTACTGAAGGTACTCAGGTCATTGCCTGGGGATATCATTTTACACTGACCCTTACAGCCTCAGGCTTCATCAAAGTTCATCAGCAAACCTAGGTAAAGGTTTATATTTAACCTTCAAAATATGGGGGTGGGAGTGGGAAAGAAGAAGCCAGGCCATTATATCGATTTGCTCCCACTGCAAACACTTCCGTATAAAATAAATGCTTAGATGATTAACCTACCTCCTGTGAAAGTGAAACAGGTTTCCACTTGTCTCCTAATGTTTAGGACATTATTTGAGAGAAAGAACAACTCCCAAGTTCCTTAGAGTCAAGGAATCACTATTTATTCCAAGGGCAACACAATTAATGTTAAGTCTTGTAACTCGTTTTTTTAATTAGATTTTTGAAATTCTAGTTGCAACCAAATCTCTGTTACTTGCACTTGAGGAAGAGAGTTGGGGCAGGGAGACTCCAGAAATCATAGCTCTAGAGCCAGAGAGGAACTCAGAAATCTTCCGATCCAATGCTCTCATTTTACAAATGAGGAAACTGAGGCTCAGAGAGGTTGTCCACAATCATAAAAGTAGTGTGCTTCTGAGATGGGATTTTGAACCCCAGAGTCAATGCTTTTCCCCCTTTACCGTGTTAGAACATGCCAACCAATGAACAGGCACTGTTGGGCACCTACTATGTATTGGGCACTGTGCCTTCTTGTTGAAGATTTGCATTCCTAATCATGTTTTGCTTTAACTGCTGTTAGTGTGAGTTCTGGGCACTCACCAACTGACATTTGGGTCACAGAGGCCTACAGTGGAGCCGGATGGCAGGGAAGAAACCATCCAAGATACCCAAAATGGTTATGGCTAATCTAGAGCACAGAAAATACACAGGTTATAACAGATCAGACCTTCACAGAAGGGTGGGCCATATCAGGGGCAGTGTGTTGTAGGGCAAAGAATATTGAACTTAGGAGCCAGAGGAACTGGAATCAGATCCTAGCTCTGCCACTTCTATTTAGATCTGTGACCTTGGCCAAATGACTTATTTCTCAGGGCCTCTGTTTGCTCAACTGGAAAATAAGGGGGTTGGACTAATTACTTTCAAAGTACTCTTCTAGCTTTTAAGTCTGTAATTTAGTTGAAAATTCAGTTTAGTCTGACTTCATCAGCTTAATTTTCAAAATGAGATATATAGATTATTTTTAGTATTCCATAGAAACTCTTTGATATTGAAGAGTAGCTCTTCATCTTATATCAATTCCATATATATCTTGGAAATGAGACCTTTACCAGAGAAACTTATTGCACAGATTTCCCTCGGTACCTGTTTTCCTTCTAATTTTTAGTAATTAGATTTATTTCTGCAAAAACTTTAAAATTTTACAGAAACAAAATTTTTCATTTTATCTTCAGTAATTCTGTCTGTTGTTTGTCCATTTACCTAAATGAGCTCAGAGTTTTTTTTGAGAGTGAGGACTTTCTCTTTATCATCAGGCTGAGAACTCCCAAGTTATAGTAAGCAATTCCATCTTCAAGCTATAGTTAGTGATTCTATCACTTGTTTACTCATTAACTCTTTCCCTATCCATAGATCTGAAAGGTAATTTCTTTCTTGCTCCTCTAATGTCTTTATTATGTGACTGCATATGTTTCGTCATATTTCCATTTGGAACTTATACTGGTGTAGGGTGTGAGGTGCTGGTCTAAATCTAATTTCTGCCAGACTTTTGCCTGGTTTTCCTACTAGTTTTTGTCAGTGAATCCCTCCCCCAATATTTCTTAGAAACAAATCTCCTTCTTAGATATGAAAATGACAGGTCTAATCTGACATCTTTGGAGGAAAAAATGAATTCCAATGGGCTGATCATGTTGTATTATTATTAACATCAATATTATTGCCTATTCTCCACCCTTGACTTATATTCTCTTTCTGTTCTAGGTGGAAAACATTATCAGGTTCGGGTTAAACATGTCACAACATTCAGGCTGACAGTCAAGGCATCACTGGATAATCCTACCTCTCCCATCACCTCATCCTCAGAACTGGATGACGCCAAACACCCAGGACAACTCCCTGAGGGCCACTTCACAGCATGACCACTTAGCCTCCTGACTGGGAGGCCCCGCCACCCCCCCCTGCCCTGTTCCCACCTCCCCACCCCAGGTGGTGAGGGAGTGAAATTTCAGAGCAGTGGGGGGTGGCAGCAGTGGAGGTGGGGGGAAGGGGTGGGTGGGCTGGGGGAAATCGATTTTGGTGCCAGGTTGAAACATTTTCCCAAAACAGTTCTGCAAAATGACAAGCCTGTTCCGCAGGAGCAGCAGCAATGGTGGGTCCCGGGGTGGGGGGAGCGCCTCAGCACAGGAACTCAACAACAGCCGGCCTGCCCGGCAAGTCCGGCGCCTGGAGTTCAACCAGGCCATGGAGGACTTCAAGACCATGTTCCCCAACATGGACTATGACATCATTGAGTGTGTGCTGCGTGCCAACAATGGCGCCGTCGATGCCACCATTGACCAGTTGCTGCAGATGAATCTGGATGGGAGCAGCTATGATGATAGCTCGGACTCAGATGACAGCATCCCTCCTGAGGTGAGGGGGTTATCTGTGCACCTTAGTTGGCCGTACTAGCTCTGTTCAAACAAAAAAAAAGAAGAAAACATACCTAAATCAGTGTAGTGTGTAGATGTCAAGAAACCTGGGTTCAGATCTTGACTCTGAAACTTATTAACTGTGCGACCATGAACAAGCCAAGCTTCCCTGAGCCTCTGTTTCCTTATCCAAAAATGGGGCTAATACTTGTGCGCCTGCATGTCTCACAAGGTTGCTGCGAAGAAAGATGCTTATTATTATTATATATATTAATTAATTTGTTTTAAGCTTAAATACAGAATTATTATCTTTTTAAAATACATGAAGCAAAAGTCATATACCTCTCCATCAGGGCCCCACCTTTTCACACTGTATGTCAGCCAAGTGGTCAGTAACACATACAATGCACCCACTGTAGACAGAGACCCCTACTTGAAAAATGCATAGTATAAAGGATTAAGATAAGACACATAGATGTGGGAAACGATTCCACAATACAAAGAATGCCTAAATGAGTAAAAATGATTGTAGTATGAGCTAGTCAGTTCAATGAAACAAACATTGTTACTGGCTGGGCACTGTGTTAGGCACGGGGGACATGAAGGCAAAAATAATGATACCTGAGCTCACAAAACTTACATTCTATTCAGCAAGATAACTTGAGCACAAAGATAGCAAAACAGAATATGTGCACAATAAATCTAATGTTAACTTCAGAGAGGTGGGAAAGGGCCCTAACAGCTGTAATAATAGTAGCTAACATATATAGAGCATGTTAAGGCTCGCAAAGGGTTTTCCATGATTAGCTGCTTTGTTCCAGGTGTGAGTGAAATGGCTGGCACTAGGTAGGTTTAATTAGGGAAGACTCCCTGGTGGAGGTGACTTTTGACCATAATAGCTAGAGTTTAGTATTTCTGCTCTTAACCTCTCTTCCAGTGCTCCTCAGGGCTTTTCTGGAGGTGCCAGGCTTCCTGCCCTTTGAGAAAGGTTCTGGGTTCCCTTTATTTTCCCCTCAGTTCCAGGTGCTCGATGATATTTTGCCCTTCCTTGTTCTCCGTCTTGTCCTTCTCCCTAACCCTTTTCACTCAATTGTCTAGTCCTGACAATTCTTCCTTCACAGTGTCTCTATCCCCTGATCTATGCCCGTCTCTCCCATTCCTCCTGTCACCACTCAAATTCAGGCCCTCATTAGCTTGTGTCTGGACTGTTATGATCACCTTTTAGCTGGCACCACCTCCAAAATCTCTCTTCCTCTTCCTATCTTCTCTAGATTTTCCTGAAAACACTTCAATCTCTGCTCCAAAGTTTCCACAGCTCCCTCTAGCTTATAGAATAAAGTCTGAACCCCATTGGTTTGACATTCAAGGCCTGCCACAATCAATTCCCAGCTTATTTTTTTCTGTCTTGTCTCTCACTGTTTCCCTGTTTAATCCATCTTCTCCAGCCAAATTGGTTCACCTACTATCCCCTTTCAGCTTTTCTCCCTTAATCATTCATTCCTCTTTCCCTTAAACACATATAGCCACAATCTAGAATTATTAAAATCCTTCTAATTCCTCCAGGGTTAGCTCAAAGGTCACCTCCTTGACGATCCTTCTAGCCCATGGTACTGCCTCCTTCTGAATTCCCATAGCTCCTACTGGCTAGACTGCTCCTATGCTACCTACTTTCTGTCTATTGCCCTCTGCAATGGTTATTTATCTGGAGTCTTATCTCTTCAATTAGATTATAAACTAAACTTTGCCCATTGGTGTAGTGGAGAGAGGGCTAGGTTGGGAGGCAGAGGACTGCGTTCAGTTTCTGTTTTAGGCACCTATTTCTTGTCCCTCTAACTTTGGATTAGTCACTTCCCTTCTCTGAAACTCAGTTTCCTCCACTGTTTAAGATGAGGTTGATCGGATTAGGTGATCCCTAAAGGCCCTTCCAGTGCCAGGTCTATGACCCTAAGCTTCTGATGAACAAGAACTAGGTCTTACCATTTTTGGAGGTCTTTTTTTGCATTGCTCTGCCCAGAGTAAATAAAAGCTTCCTAGAGTCCCTTTCCCTGCATCCCTAGGACAGCCTTGCTTGCTATCAAAAATGCCCCCCAGCTTAGGGGGCCACATCAAAGACTTACAGATCTAGAGCAGGGAGAGACCCAAGATGTTATATAGTCCTACACCTTCATTTTTTTAAAATTTATTTTTATTTTTTAACATTTTTTTTAGGCATTTAGGGTTAAGTGACTTGCCCAGGGTCACACAGCTAGTAAGTGTCAAGTGTTTGGTCTGAGGCAGGATTTGAACTCAGGTCCTCCTGACTTCAGGGCCAGTGCTCTATCCACTGTACCACCTACCTGCCCCTTAACATGTGTTTTTAAAACTTTGGGTTACAAATTTTCTCCCTTCCTCCCTCCCCATCCACCCTCATTGAAAAGGCAAGCATCTCGATACAGGTTATAGATGTATAGTCATGCAAAACACTTCCATAGTAGTCCTGTTGTGAAAAACTAAGTATATTTCCCTTCATCCTATCTTGCCCCCCATTTATTCTATTCTCTCTTTCAACCCTGTCCCTCCTCAGAAGTGTTTGCTTCTGATTATTCCCTCCCCCAATCTGCCCTCCCCTTTATCAACCCCCTGCTCTCTTGTCCCCTTCCCCCCTTATTTTCTGTAGGGTAAGATAGATTTCCATACCCCATTGTGTGTGTTATTCCCTCCTTAAGCCAAATCCTATGAGAATAAGATTCACCCAACACCTTCATTTTAAAGATGAGGAGGTGGAGGCCCCAGCATGCTGCATAACTTGTTCAGGGTCACACAAGTAGTAAGCATTATAGGTGGGATTTAAACCCCATGTTCTTTCCACTGTCATACTGGCTCCAAGTCAGAAGCACACTACTCTTTGTGGAGAGGGGTGTGTGTGTGTGTGTGTGTGTGTGTGTGTGTGTGTGTGTGTGTGTGTGTGAGAGAGAGAGAGAGAGAGAGAGAGAGAGAGAGAGAGAGAGAGAGAGAATTTGACTTAATTCAATAAACACATCAGATGTTGACTATGTGCAAAGAGAAAGGCTAGGTATCATTTACCATGTTGATTTTGAAAGGTGCTTCTCACTCTAATCTCTGACAATTTCCGCAATATTGATTTATTTTAACTTAGCTGTGTAGATAGGGTCTTATTTCTTTCTTTTTTTCCCCCATCCCATAAAATATCTTCCAGACCTTCCCACGGTGACCTTTGTCCTATTAATGATGCATAGAATAACCTGGCATGATGAGAAAGTGGGAGAGGCTAGGCCTGGCTATGTTTTCTACTTCTCCTAAGATTTTTTGCTTTACTTGAATGAATGGGCTCTGTGCCCCACCTTCTCTGCAAAGCTCCCCCCCGCTCCCATCCTTCAATGCTCTCCCCCCACCCCATCACTTCCCAGCTCTCCTCTGTGTCCATCAGTTGGCCTGAATCTACTGAGCCAGCTCAGAGTCCTCCAGTAAATTTATTAGCAGCAGCTGGAATGACAATAACTGCTGACTGTAAGCCTCCCTCCCTTCCCCCAGGGGCTGATGGATGGTGTACTGGGCTGTGGGGTATCCTTGCCATTGAAAAATATCACCTGTCAGGCAAACGACAGAAAAACAAGCCATCCTAGAGCATCTGGCATCCATTTATCACTCATGCTGAGTTAAACAAGAAGGCTGCAAAGCCAAAAGCTTCAGCACATTTTTTGAACCAGAAGAATAAACATATTGCTCCAGGGAGGGAGACAGGGGGATTCCAGAGATGGGAGCAGGATTAGCATTGGCCGTAGGAGCGCTGCTGGAGCTGTTGTGGTTTCTTGTTCGCTTCTCCTCCAAATCGGGGCCAGGGCTTAGGCCCCTCTGGTAGGAGCATCTGTTTTCTGCTGCTCTGGGAATGAGTGATACTAATAAGCTCAGGAGCCCTCAGGCTGGAGGCCCTGGGAGAGAGAATCTGATTGCAGCTTCAAAGCTACCAGGCCTTTAGGGAACACAATCTGATCCTGGCAAGGTTCCTCTAGGAGGAGAAGTCTAGTTCATCAGCCTTTCTCAGTTTTCTGGGGGTGGTGATGATGGGGGTGGGGAGGGGAATAAGCAGCTTCCTGACCCCCTGATCCCCACGGCAAACAAAAGCAAGCCGGCCCCCAAAAGGAGCTGTCCCAGGTAGTTCATTTACAAAGGAGGAAAGGGGCGGGGGTGGTCTCCTGTGAGTGGACTCCTGGCTCTGTTTATCATCCTGACCTATCCTGCTGACTCTGAGACCAAAGAGGGCAAGATGTGTGGGAAGCCAGCAGCTACTGATGGTCCAACCTCTTTACTTCTTGAAATATTGGCATGGAGCAGACCTGGCCAGCTAAGCGGTCAAGTTCATTCTTGCTTGTGAAAACAGCTGTGCAAATAGTTTCTGTCTCAAAGGAAAAATGTTGGTGCATTCCACAGAACAACCACTGGTGTATATCCATAGGCGCCATCGTGTATGTGAGAGAGAGAGAGAGAGAGTGTGAGAGAGTGTATGTGTGTGTTCTCGAATGCTGTGGACCTTTGTGTATGTTTCACAGCAGGACCCAGCACTGTGTTTAGGAAATCCTGTCCCTATCCACACTGCCCCCCCACCAAAGAAAATCCAGTCTGTCCTGCCCCCATTCTCAGGCTTCCACAACCCATGGTCAGATTGATTTTGCAAAGGCAGAAGCTGAGAGGGCCAGTAGGTAAGGTAGCTTTAGGGAGCAAACCCAGTAAAAACAGCATTAGAAGGGGCAGCTAGGTGGCGTAGTGGATAGAGCATCAGCCCTGGATTCAGGAGGACCTGAATTCAAATCCGATCTCAGACACATAATACTAGCTGTATGACCCTAGGCAAGTCACTTAACCCTATTGCCTAGCCCCCACCCACCCAAAAGAAAAAAAAACATAGAAAAGGAAAAAAAGCAGCATTAGAACTTGACCTTAATACTTAAGATTCATTCAGTGTCTTTCAGTCTGCAATGTACATACTTTCTTTCCAGTGATCCTGTACAGGAGGGTGGGTAATACAATGATTATCACACACACGTACAATGATACAGATGAGGGAAACCAGTTGAGAAGCTGAGTGTCTTAGCCATGATTGCACACCTACTAAATGGCAAAGCAAAGACTAGAAACCAGAACTTTACAGAGTGCTTACTGTGTGTCAGCAACTGCTAAAAACAAAGGGAAAGAACCCTTGCCTTTCAAGAACTTATATTCTGTGGCAGCTAGGTGGCGCAGTGGATAGAGCACCGGCTCTGAAGTCAGGAGGACGTGAGTTCAAATCTGACCTCAGACCAAACACTTGACACTTTTACTGTGTCACTTAACCCCAACTGCCTAAAAAAAAAAAAAAGAAGAAGAAGAAGCTATATTCTAATGGGGGAGACCGAAGTGGCACAGTGGATAGAATTTTGGACATGGAGTCAGGAAGCCCTGAGTTTGAAAATTCTGCCTCAGATACTTACTAGCTGTGTGACCTTGCGCAAGAACGTTTAACCTCTTTCAGCCTCCATTTCCCCATCTGTAAAATGAAGATAATAATAACAACACTTACCTCCCAGGATTGTTGTGAGGATAAAATGAGATAGAAACACTTCACAAACCTAAAGCACGAGCTATTATAATGATGTATAAAGATTGGTATTACAAAATGACACATGGTACCCATAATTGGAGAGGAGAAGGCCGTACCAAGGTGCCCCTCAACAAAGGGCTTCAGAAATCCCTTTAGGAGATGATATGTTGGGTGATCCCTTTGCCCCATTTCCTCATTTCCTGGGGATACCTGGGAGGATCCCTGGCCATTTTCTCCAGCAAAGAGGGGCCAGAATTACTGAGAAAAATCCAAACCAGGGATGGGAACAGAGAATGAAGCTAATTGTTCATGCTGTGGCTGGAGTATCTACATAGAGATTTTTTTCAATCACAAATTCCCTCCCATGGGACTAGATAATGCTTGCCAATACTTGGAAACTATCTTTTCTGTCACCCATCCCTACAGATTCTTTTCACTTTGGAAGGTCAAGAAAGCTTGACCCTCCCTTCCTATAGGTTCCAGCCATTGGGCTCTCTCCTCATCTTCTCTTCCCAGTTCTCAGAAGTTGACATGGCCTCCATTGGAGGAATCAGTGCCCTCTGCCCTCTGCCCAGCCCAGCCTTTGCCAACCTAGTAAAATGGGGTGTCATGGATCAGTGGGACAGGGAGTTAGATACTATATTTGTAGCCTGAGACCTTGTTTTGGTGACTTGTTAATTGACTTTGAGCAAGTCCTTCCCCACCCCACTTCCTAGGCCTTGAGTTTCTTCATTGCTAAGGGTGAAGGGCTGATAATCCTTGGTGCTCCTGTCTCATTGGGGTTGTTGTCAGGATAAGACAAAATAGTTAGATCTTTGATAGAGCCTGAAGAGGTCATTTAGTCCAACCCTCTTATTGTATATGAAAAAACAGGTCCAGGAGGTTAAATGAATTGCCCACATCACGCACGTGGCAAGTATCAGAGGCAGCACCTGAACCCAGGGCTTCTGACCCTTTTCACTGGAACACACTGACACATGTGGAACCGCTTCAAGTGTTATTTTAATGCACAAATTGATCATATGATTACTGTATCATCTCATTTTGCTCACTGGTTTAGATTTTGGAACGGACTTTGGAACCAGATAGCTCTGATGAAGAGCCACCACCAGTGTATTCACCTCCTGCCTACCACATGCACATGTTTGACAGGCCTTATCCCCTGGCTCCCCCAACCCCACCTCCCAGGTAAGAATTTTTGTCTTCTTACATTGGCTGTAGGTGGGATGAACCAATGTGTCAGGGAACAAAGAGCAATTCTCTGGTGGTATCATAGTGGCTTGTTCTAACAAGAATGAGAAAGGATGGATTTCAGCTCTGGCAGAGGGAATTCAAGTTGGGAATCAAGGAAGACTTGGTGAGATGCTGGAGCATGTGTGTGATGAAGGCCACAAGGACTATTTCCCTGCCACACCCCCTCACTGCTGTTCTGCCTTCTCCTGACAGACTGCAGTCCTACTGGGCTCTGGGTTGGCAGCCAGCGTGGCTGGAATGTAGTGTGTGTGAAGGAGAGTGATAGACAGTAAGCCTGGAAATGTAGGCTGGGGCCAGACTGTAGAGAACTTGGAATGCCAAATAGGACTTTATATTTTAGGCTAGAGGCAAAAAGTCACAGGTGTGTTTTCAGCAAGAAGGTGATGTGGTTAGACCTGTATTTTAGGAATACTGACTTAGTAGATCTGTGAAGAATAGAATGGAAAGGGGAATTGGGTGGCAGCTGGGTGGTACAGTGGATAGAGAGCAGGAAGATCTGAGTTCAAAGCTGGCCTCAGACACTTACTAAGTAAGTTGTGTGGCCCTGGGCAAGTCACTTCATTGCTGTCTGCCTCAGTTTGCTCATCTATAAAATGGATATAATAATAGCACCTACCTCCCAGGGTTGTTGTGAGGATTTATAAAGCACTTAGCATAGTGCCTGGTACATAGTAAGTACTATATAAATCTTAGCTACTATTACTACTATTATTATTAATTATTATTATTATTATTACTATAGAGGCAAGGATAGATTGGGAAGAAGCCTTTAAAACCTGAATGTTGGCAGTCTAAGCTGTGAAAGGGAGAAATAGGTCATGGGGAAATAGGGGAATAGAGGTGGGCACTGCGGGACAGTTTAGTGTGAAGGGGCTCCTTTAGAGTCACAAGACCTGGGCTAGGTTTCTGGTTCTGACACATATGAGATCTTAGGCAAGTCATTTCACTGGGCCTCAGTTTCCTTCTCCGTCAAATGAAACAATTGCAGAATATAGTCTCTACAGTCCAGTCCAACCCTAAAAGCCCATGACTGCCATGACTTTTTTTTTTAAAGGCAATTGGGGTTAAGTGACTTGCCCAGGGTCACATAGCTAGTGTCAGGTATTTGGTCTGAGACCGGATTTGAACTCAGGTCCTCCTGATTTCAGGGCCAGTGCTCTATCCACTCTGCCACCTAGCTGCCCCTTTGCCATGACTTTTAAAGAAAGGAGAGGTAGCTCTCTATCCCTCCATTGAGTTACTGGAAGGCAGTGAGATGAACTTAGAAGGTCTCTCAAGGCCTTTTCCAGACAAAAACTCTTCCACAGTTTGGGAATATGGAACTAATCAACTTGTTGACAGAGTTCGGTGGGGAGGTCAGACACCACAAATGACTATATTTTCCAGGCCACAGCATTCTATTATAGAATTACTAGGGAACAGGAGTAAATTTTTGTCTCAAAGTAGCTGAAGCCTTTTTAATGGTCACCAGAGGTAGGGGTATTAATGGAGGATGGTCTTATCCTTGCCAAATGATTCTTTGTAAAGTCCTAGGGAATCCCAGAATAGCCAGCGTGTGTGTGTATGTGTGTGTGTGTGTGTGTGTGTGTGTGTGTGTGTGTGTGTGTGTGTGTGTGTATGTGAGCTCACTGGAGTTCGGGCTTGGGGGGAGATCATAGATCTAGAGTTGGAAGGGATCTCAGAGGTCACATAAGTCTATTCTTTCTTACAGATGAAGAAACTGAGGCACTAGGAGGTTAAGTTATTTACCCAAGGTTACATAAATAGTTAAGATCAGAGGTAGGCTAGAAAGAGCATTTTGAAGTTCCTGTGGGAGTAGCAAGGATTCTTCTATGGGTCCCTAGAAGAGACAAATGGGAGTCTGAGCCCTCATCTAGCTTTCTGGCCTTCAAGCTGGGCCTACAATCTCTGCACTTGAGCTCAGGGTAAGCGACATGCTTCTGCTCCTCAGGGGCTCTTTGTGCTTTGTAGAAACTGAAGCTGTTATTCACAAAGCCAGGGTATATTGTCCATCTTTTCTGTTCTTTATTTTTTTGGGGGGGCACTGGAAGAAATTCAACTAAATCCTGCTGTTTATAGAGAAAGAAAAAAAATTAAACTTTATTATTAATACCAAAGAACTTGAAAGTAAGTATACTTAATTGGCTTAATTAATACCAAAGAACTTGAAAGTGGATACATTCATTCTTGTAACTGTTGAAAGAACTACCTGCAATTTCAGTCAGTATAATAAACCATCCTAGATAAATATAATGGCAGGTAATTATTAAGCTCAGGTAGAGAGATAGGCACCTGTGATTTCACTGGTTTAGAGAACTCCCAGGTGATGAAATGCGCTCCATTAATGCAGACACCTTCTTTTCAACTTAAAATCTTAAGGAGTTGCTTGGGGCACTGAGAAGTTGAGTAATCTGCCCCAAGTCACGCAGCCTATTGAGCTGTCAGAGCAGGGGAGGGTCTCAAATTTTTTGTTCTTGGGACCCCTTTACAGCTAAAAATGAATGAGGACTGCAAAGAGCTTTTTTTGTTTATGTGGGTTACATGTCAAAAAAGGGCAGCTAGGTGTTGCAATGGATCGAGCACTGGACTTGGAAGCAGGAAGACTCATCTTCATGAGTTCAAATCTGGCCTCAGACACTTATTAGCTGTGTGACCCTAGGTGAGTCACTTAACCTCGTTTGCCTCTGTTTCCTCATCTGTCAAATGAGCTGGAGAAGGAAATGGCAAACCTTTGCCAAGAAAACCCCACGAAGAGTCAGACATAACTCAACAACAACATATCTATCAGTATTTGCTGCAATAGAAATTAAAATGATACATTTAAAATTTTATTAATTCATTTAAAAACAATAAATCCACTACATGTTAATATAAGTAGCATTTTAATGAAAAATAACCATTTTCCAAAACACAAGCAACGAGAAGAGTGGCACTGCTTTACATACTTTCGCAAATCTCTTTAATGTCTGGCTTAATGGAAGACAGCTGGATCCTCATCTGCTGCTGCATTCCATCTGTTAAGATAATGTTGTTTTGGTTAAACGTATATGAAGAAAATCTGGCCTCACACAGATATGTAGTTGGAAAAGGGGGAAGTATTTTAATAGGCAAATAACATCTGAGTATTATTATGAAAATAGTTTTGACCTCTAGGACCTCCTAAAAAGGTCTCAGAGACCTCCAGAGGTCAAAAGACCACACATTGAGAACCTCAGTGTTAGAGGGAAGACGGGAACCGAGTCTTTTTAACTTTAAGGACAGCTCTCTCCCAAGCTGCCTCTCCTAGGTATCAACATGTAAATGTGTTTGTTTAGAACCTCAGCAAAGACTTGATGTTGACTTTAGTGAAGGGTGGCAGTATGTTTACAGTATGGGTGCTTTCTTCAAAGAGGCCTGACTGGACTTTTGAGCAGTTGTTATTCCTTGCTTCTGGATCTTTTGAACCATTTCTTTGGGGATCTCATGGCCATTTCCCCCCTAAATCTATTTAGTGCTTCTGTAAGCCACCACTGGGGGACTCCTCTCCAAGCCTCTCACTCTAGCTAACTTTTCTTTCTGTCCCCAACATTCCGATATTCCTGCTGCCACTACTGAAAAGACCTCGGAGGTGCCTCCCAGCGCCACAGCCATGAGTCCATGAACCTTGAAGTTAAGGCTGCAACTGCTAAGAGTGCTTCTGGTTGAGTTTCTTGCCTCTGTTTAGGTTGTGTTTACACCCCCCCCCCCAAATGAATGGAGGTTGTTGTTGCTTGAAATGCTGTGGCTGCTTCAACCTCTTCTTGCTCGTTTTTTGTTAGTGATATACAGGAGCACTGATGACTTTTTTTTGTGACTTTTATATCCAGCTGCTTTGCTGAAACAGTTATCTCTTGAGTTTTCTTCAGAGGGGGTGGTCAAGTAAAACTGGTTTTCATCTTTTTGTGTGTTGTAGTCACAAAATCTATGGAAACCTACAGACTCTTTCTCCAAATAATGTTTTTAAATGCATAAAATAAATTAAATAGGATTATATAGGAAACTTGGGCAGCTAGAAGGCTCAGTGAATAAATAGAGTGCTGGGCCTGGTATCAGGAAGACCTGAGTTCAAATCCAGCCTCAGATACTAACTATGTGACTCTGGGAAAGTCACTTTACCCTGTTTGCCTCACTTTTCTCATCTGTAAAATGATCTGGAAAAGGCAATGACAAACCATACTAGTATCTTTGCCAAGAAAATCCCTAATGGGGTCACAAAGAGTGGGACATGACTGAAAAATGATTCAACAACAAATAACAGGAGACTAATTATTACTGATTCCCACAACTGCTAGAGCCTTCTTCAAAATTGCCTTCTACTGGGGCAGCTAGGTGGTAGGTAGAGTCAGGAGGACCTGAATTCAAATCCAGCCTCAGACCAAACACTTGACACCTACTAGCTGTTTGGCCCTGGACAAGTCACTTAACCCCAACTGCCTAAAAAGAAGTTAAAAAAAATTTTTTTTAAATTAAAAATTTGGGGCAGCTAGGTGGCACAGTGGATATGAGCACTGGGCCTAGATTCAGGAGGACCTGAGTTCAAATCCAGCCTCAGACACATAACAATAAATAGCTGTGTGACCCTGGGCAGGTCACTTAACCCCATTGCCTAACCAAAAAAAAAAAAAAGACAAAATTACCTTCTACTGACTTTGCATATACTTATATGTGTACATATCATTTCCCAGAAAGAATGTAAATTCCCTGAAGGCAGGGACTATTTCAATTTTGTCTTTGTATTTCCAGTGCCTGGCATAGTGCTTGGCACATAGCAGGAGCCTAATAAGTGTTTGTTGACTAGTAATAGCTAACATTTATATAGTGCTTACTATGAGAGGCACTATGCTAAGCACTTTACAATTATTATTTCATTTGATCCTCACAACTACCCTTGGAGGCAGGTGGTGTTATTTTATCCCCATTTTACAGTTGAGGAAACTGAGGCAGACAGCAGTTAAGTGACTTGCCCAGGGTGACACAGCTAATAAGTGGTTGAGGCAGGATTTGAACTCAAAGTATTCATGACTCCTGGCCCAGCATTCCTCTCTACCACACCACCTAGCTGCCTTCATTGATTAAATGGCACTGGACAGGAAGTCTGGGGACAGGGGTTCTAGTCCTACGTTTGCCACTAATTTTCTATGTGATTCTGGGCAAGTTGGTTTCCTTCTCTGGGTCTGTTTGTTGATTCAATTAGACTAGATCTCTAAAGTCCCTTCCTGTTTCATTATTTTAAGTGTGACTCATTCTAGAACATAGGTGGGAGGGTTTGGCTTTACTTTATTAAATGATCTCAAGTCAGTCAGTCAGTCACTATAAGCTTATTAAAGACCTACTATGTACCAGGCAGTGAGCAAAGCCACTTGGTGGTATGAAAAAAGGCCAAGGATAGCCCCTGGTTCTCAAGGGGCTCACAGTCTGCTATGGACTCATAAGCTAAATGCAAGATAGATCAGAAATAACCACCAGAGGCAAGGCACTAGAATCAAGGAGGACTGGGAAAGGCTTCCTGTAGGAGGTGGCATTTTGGCTGGGACTGGAAGGAAGCCAGGAGGCAGAGAAAAGGAGGGAGAACCTCCCGGGCATGGGGGACGGGAAGAGTAAATGCTTCAACTCAAGAGATGGAGTGTCTTGTTCAAGGAGCAGCCAGGAGGTTGGTGTCAGTGCATCCAAGAGTATGTGGGAGTGGGGAGGGAGAAGAGGGGGGGAGCAAGAGGGTGTAAGAAGACAGGAAAGGTGGTGGTGGGCTAGGTAGTGAAGGGTTCTGAATGCCAAACAGAGATGATGAAGTACCAGGAGCTGGGGATATAAGGATGTATCCGACATAGGCCCTGTCCCCAAATAGCTTACAGTTTAACTTGGGAGGGGGATGAGGGAGAAATATTAAGTGCATAAATACAGGTTTACTGACAGCCCTTATCTCGAAGTAATGCTGCAAATGACAGATCTATGGAGTCAAGCATTGTTATAAAGGGAAAAAATGTTTTGTCTTGGCTGCCTGGAGTTTTCCTGGTGAAATTACAGTCTCGGCATTCCCCCTCCACCCCCTTCTTAGCTCATTTTTGACATTCCATTTAGACCAGAGCTGATTTTTAAGACTCTAGTTACTCCAGGGCCCCAGCTTGCTGGCTTATGAGGTGAACTTGGCTCCTCAAGGTGCCAGTCAGCTAGGGTAGGGCTTCCTGACTGTCCCCCCACCCCCAAGAACTCAAAGGAAACAGTGGGTGGAGCTTGCGGCTGAGGCCTGAGCCTCATCTGACCTCTAGTAGATAGGTCTCTGCCCTTCCCTGTGACCCTCTTGTCAGCCTCCAGTGGGGGGACTGCTCACTGTCGTGCATAAACAACTCTGGGACATTTGGCTCTGATTCTTGGCTGGATCAGATGTGGGATCGGGCTGGGCTGCAGACGCATTTAACAGATGAGAACACTGAAGTGAAGGAAATGGAAGGCATGTGTGGCAGAGAGGGATAGGTGGATAATTCCTTCTGCCTCTCCTATCCTGAACCCAAAGGACATCAGCATGTCGCACAGAGGACTTGACTCCCAGCAGGGGAGTGGACAGGGGATTTCAGAAGAGACCAATCCATCAAAATGTAGTAATAATTTTTATAATAATAATAATTATTATTATAGTGGGTGTTCATATAGCTTTAAGGTGTACAGATTATTTTACATATATTATTTCATTTGACTCTTACAAAAACCCCATGAATACATGCTAATTATCCTCATTTTACAGATGAAGAAACTGAGGTATAAGTGACTTGACCAGATTCATACACAAAGTAAGTGCCTAAATTAGGATTTGCACATAGATCAACAATCTGTCTACCTGGCCGCTGGTCTCTAATGTTGTAGAGAGGAAAGCCTTGGACTGAGATAACCAGCTTCTAGTCTCAGTTTTTTCACTAACTACCTGGGAGAAGTTGGTGCCTCCAGCTCTTGGTCGCCTTCTCTGTGAAATTAAGGATTTGGATTTAATGGTCAATAAAACCCTCTGCTAGGTGGTACAACGGATGGAGCGCTGGAAGGAAGACCTGAGTTCAAATTTGGTCTTAGGCACTTACTAGTAGTGTGACCTTGGGCAGGTCACTTAACCCTGTCTACCTCAATTTCCTCATCTGTAAAATGATTTGGAGAAGGAATTGACAAACCACTCCAGTATCTTTGCCAAAAAAACCTCAAATGGGGTCACAGAGAGTCAGGCACGCCTGAAAATGACTCAACAACAACACCAAAGTCCTCTCCAGCTCTAACATTTCCTAGTCGTTAAGCGTTTGTTCAGTGTGCCTAGCATCAAGTGAACCAGATGATTCTCCTATGTTCCCTCTGCAGTATGTAGAAAGAACTTTGGTTCTCAGTTCAAGTCCTACCTCTGAGGCTAACTACCTTATCACCTTGGGCAAGTCACTTAACTTCCCTGGGCCTTAGTTTCCCCATCTGTAAAATGAGGGGTTGGATTACATAGTCTCTCATATCTCTGTCAGCTCTAAATCTCTGACCTTGTGAAAGGGAGAAGAAGCTCCTTCCAAGATGAGAGATACCCAGGGAAAACTTTTTTCCAATGGAAAAGTCACTCTGCAAGGGAGGAGGTAGGGGAAATCAAAACCAGGCCGAGGAAATGAACACTCTTTTTCCCCCCTGCCCCCAGCATCGAGGCTGGTTTGTCTATGTGTCATTTCCCTTATTCAGCAAACCATATGTCTTGTGGGAGCCGTGAGGGCCTGTCCTTCAGGCCACAAAGGAAGTATAGAAAGGAATGTCTCCTAGTCCACAGATTAGAATGGGTTAGTTCCCACCCTCGGCAGAGCCCCCTGGCTTCCCTGTACCCCAAGGGAAGGACCTGTGTCTGTACTGGACCTGGAAGTACCAGTAGTACCTGCTGCTCCTGGGCATCAGCAACGGGCAAGGGCAGCACTGTTTCCTGCCTATTTTCAGGGGTGGGACATAAAACCACTCCATTCAAACAGCTTTGCCTCTTTAACCTCTGTCTCTGGGTAAACTAACCCACTTCCTTATTTTTCCAGATTAATATGTCATAGAATCTCTCTCCATTCCTTTTTGGCATGAAGAGTAATAATAATTCCTTGCAATCTTAAAGTACTTTCATGTTTCAATAAATAAGCATTTATTAAGCACTTGCTATGTGCCAAGCACTGTGTTAAAGTCCTGGGGAAATAATGTATGTGTGTGTATATATCTATATCTATATCTATATCTATATCTATATCTATATCTATATCTATATCTATATCTATATCTATATCTATATCTATCTACATGCATATATATGTATATACACACAGGTACACACACACACACACACACACACACACACACACAAAAGATGGTCCCTGCTCTCAAGGAGCTTACAATCTAACCCGGAAAAGAGAAGTCAAAAAAGGAAGCTGGAAAAGCAGAGGAGGAAAGGGAAGGTGTCTGGCACATTGACATGGTGGAGAAATCTGAAGGAATGCAGCTGGTTGGGAAATGTGCATTATCCCATTAGAGCCTTTCAGGAACCTGGAGAGGTGGGTAGGAGGGAGTAGCAGACCTCTCTTATAGAGGAGGAAATTGAGGTCTACAGAAGTAAATGAGGTTGTACAGGGAATTTGAGGCAGGCTAGGACTAATACCCAGCTCTCTTGATCCCCAGGCCAGGATTCTTTCTGGGACAACCCTCTGGCTTCTATGACCTGTGGCTTAGTTTGGCATGCACTTCTAAAGTCAGGGCATGGGGAGGGATGGCATCCAATGGCACTGCCCTTCACCTCCCAAATTCCATCTCACTGGCAATACTCACTCTAGTCAGGCGTTCATTGATTCCTCCAGCCTTTGGCCTCACTGCTTTGGCCCCCTTCTCCTTGTTCTCCTACAGGATAGACGTGCCTAGCGCTGGGGTCCCCCCAACCCAGAGGCGCTATCGCAACTGGAACCCCCCACTTCTGGGCAACCTTCCTGATGATTTCCTTCGAATCCTGCCCCAGCAGCTGGATAGTTTGCGGGTAAGAGGGGAAGGAGCCTGGGCAGAGTGCAGGTAGCTGGGGGCAAAGTGGGTACTAAAAGAAGAAATCAGAGATGGCCTGTCCTTTCCCGTCTACTTCTGCCCCCAGGCCACCAGACCAGAGGTTCTGTTTTGTTGACAGGGAAGCAAGAGATCTGGCATCTTGCCTGTTTCACTTCCCAGTTTTCTGGGCTCAGACTGTTAGACGATGGGGTTCAGAGGGAAGCAACCCCAAACAGGAAACCTCTTCTCAGTTTCCTGCCTTGGTCTAGATTTCCTGGCAGGCCAGGTAGAGATAAAAATACTTAAGGCACATACTAGAAAAGCAGGGGTTTGGGAGCCTGGGAGCCACTCCATTGGAAGGCCTTCCATCCTAGACAGGGCTTAGGCAAGGGGATGTGGCTAGGGGCCAGTGAGGTTATCTGCCCACAGAACATGTGCCTGAGGACTTGGGGTGGCGGTGGGGAGGGTAGAACCATGCCAAATCCTCAGGCACCTGCTTGTGACCCTCCTTGCCTGCCCTGGAGACAACTGAGTCCTCCTGATTTGGGGGAAGAGTGTTAGAACCCATTTCATTTAGGACCATTCTGTGAAAAACCATGTGTAAAGGCAGTCTGGGGAAAAGCTCTGGGTCTGGGTTGAGAAGATCTGAGTTTGAATCCTAATTCTATTCCTTTCTACCTTTGTGACCTTCAGCAAGTTACTTTGCCCCTGTGGACCTCAGTCTCCTCATCTGTAAAATGAAGACTTTGGATTAAATAGCCTTTAATTTCCCTTCCAGTTCTAAATTTATTTTCCTACACTTTTCTAACTACAGAGCAGCTTCCCAGCCCAGGGCCAGTGTGCATGTGTACCAGTATTCTGAGGCACATTCCCTTGGTACAGATCTAAGGACCTGACTACTTCTTTCCTCCTAATGTAACTGGACTGGAAACATGCACTTGAGTGTCTCATTGGCTCCTGGGGAAAGAGCTGGTTGGGTCTCTGTGTGTGGCTATGTACACACACCCATGCCGGTGCCTGTATCTCCCCTGCAGAACACGCAGAGTGGCCCCCCAAAGCTAGGGCTTGGGGAGGTCAGCCAACCCATGGCAGGAAACCTGGAGGAGGAATGCCGCTGGAAGCAGTACCTGGAGGATGAGCGGATTGCCCTCTTCCTGCAGAATGAAGAATTCATGAAAGAGCTTCAACGGAACCGAGACTTCCTCCTTGCCCTAGAGAGGGGTAGGAGGCTGGGAATGGAGGGAGGAAAGGACTTTGTGATTTTCATGAATTTTGTCACAGAGTGTACGATAGTTAGAGCAGTTTGCATGTGTGTATGTAGCCCAGAGGATCTTCACTTGGGGTCCAACTTATTTTTGTTTTAAAAAAATTTTTTTTGATAACTATATTTCAATACATTTTGTTTCCTTTATAATCTGATGTATTTTATTTTGCGCATTTAAAAACATTATTCTGAGGAGAGGTCCATAGGTTTCTTCAGATTGCCAAAGAAGTCTATAACACTGAAAAGGTGAAGACCCCTTTCTCTAGCCAGACCTTCAGTCTATCTACTTACGCTTTTGGGCAATCAGCCTGGGAAGTCACCTGATGGGATTTCTTTCTTTTTCCAGATCGATTGAAATATGAGTCCCAGAAATCCAAATCCAGCAGCATGGCCGTCAGTAATGACTTTGGTATTCCATCCACTATCACAGGTAACCCCATGGGCCCTAGCAGCCTCTGCTGCCTAAGACCCAGATTGTATAAAGGCCTTCCAAATGACTGCCCCACCCCTCTACCTATCTCCCCTCTGCCCCCAGCCTGGAGCAAAGGGAGGACAGAGAATAAGAAGCTCCTTCCTTAAAGATGGGGAAAAGCTTTCCCTCATCTTAATGAACTAGGTCTACGAGAGGGAAAATTTGTTCTTATTTGGTCATTTCAGTAGTGTCTGACTCTCTGTAACCACATCTGGGGTTTTCCTGGCATAGGATACTGGAGTGGTTTGCCATTTCCTTCTCTAGATCATTTTACAGATGAGGAACTGAGGCAAATAGGGTTAAGTGACTTACCCAGTGTCAACTGCTAGTAGGTGTCTCAGACTGGATTTGAACTCATGAAGCTGAGTCTTCCTGATTCCAAGCTCCAGTGCTCTATTTACTTCCCCACCTAGCTGCCTAGTGGGGAAAAGATGGACTTAAATTATTCTCCTAATTCCAGGTGGGGTGGTTTGGGGTAATAAGGGTAGAGAAGAGAGCAGAGGTGGAGGGACAAGTTCAACATGAGAGCCACCAAACATATCACCCTCTACAGAGAAAAGAGGTCACAAGGTATAATCTTTGTGCTACATTGTTGTAGCTACTATTTTATTCAGGATTTTTGCATCCATATTCTTTAATGAAATTGGTTTTTCATTTTCTTTCTCTGTTTTTATTCTTCCTAATGAGGAGTGAGTAGTGGGGGAGAAATGTGAAAGGTCATTGGAGGGGGGGATCATTTCCAAGCTCAGCTGCTTCTACACAAAGGAGTGTGTCTTTCCTGGGAAACACATTTACTTTTCTCCTAGTGCTCCATCCCAGTCAGCTATTAATCTAAGGACCTGGCCCCAGGACTGTCTAGATCAAGGATTCGTAACCTAGGGTCCATGAATTTGCTTTTTTAAAAAAATGTATTTTGATAACTATATTTTCTATTTTCCTATGTATTTAAAAACATCATTCTAAGAAGGGTTCCATTGGCTTTACCTGCTTGCCAAAAGGGTCCATGACACACTAGAAGAGTTAAGAATCCTTGGTCAAGGAAGCAAAGGATTCACTTAGTAGTTGGCCAAGGCCCTTTTAAACAGTGTGACACTTGGGCAGGTCACTTTCATGTCTCTGAACCTTGGTTTGCTCATCTGTAAAATGGGGATAATGATACATACTTACCTTACAGAGTTGTTGGGAGGAAAGTACTTTGTGAGCTGTTTTTAATCCCTGGGCTAAATGGGGGGAGATGGCCTCAGTAGCCGATAGAGCGGCAAGCTTGGAGTCAGAAAAGGCCCATTCCTTTCAAGGAATTCCATTCATTTCAAGCCCCTTCCGACATACAGTAACTATGTGATTTGGAGCAAGGGCCTTCAGCTCTCAATGTCTTAGGCAACTCTCTAAAATTTGGAGTTGTAGACTAGTTGCTGATCTTCCTTGATGGAAGGAGTTGCCTTGCTGAGAGTTCCCCAATACCAGGGAAATCACACTCTACTTTCCCCCTCTTCTCCAGTTACAAGCTCTCTCCTTTTAGTACCTATCTCGGATCCTGCATTCTCCACACAGTCTGCCCTCTGAGTGGTGCCTATCTGCCCTGACAGAGGGAATAAATTACTGAATAAAGCATTTATTAAGTACTTACTAGTTGCAAAGCACCAGGAATATGAATAGAAAAATAAGGGGCAACTAGGTGGTGCAGTAGATAGAGCACTGGCTCTGAAGTCAGGAGGGCGTAAGTTCAAATCCAGCTTTAGAAGCTTACAAGCTGTGTGACCCTTCGTTACTTAACTCTGATTGCCTTTAAAAAAAAAGATAAAAATAAAAAACCCCCTAAAAGTAAGGCATTTAAGAAGTTTTCTCTACCAATAAGATCCCAAGTCTGCTCCAAAAAGTAAATGTGAGCTCTTATTTATTACATTATTAATAAGTATACTACAAGACAGGATTTGTCTTCTTTGGGCCCTGTGGTCTGGGAGCCCTTAGTTAACATTGAATCTCAGCACCCAGTAGCTGTCCTGTCTCAGAGAAAGAAAGCTTCTCTGAAACGGAAGCTCTAAGCAGCTTCTGCCAGGGACTTCCCCTACACAGGATCTAATACTAGGGAGAGTGGGGGAGGGGAGGAAGTTTCCCTCTGACTGAAGGGAGGGCAGAAGGATTGTGCTCTAAACCAATCCCAGCTTGGAGAGAGAAAATCCAGGAGAACTGATTAGTAAGCAGAAGGTTGAGGAGCTTAGATGTAGCCAGAGATACATCAGGGTGTCTTAATGACCCTTCTGTCCTTGATCCTGAATTAACCAAAGGCAATGGGGCTGCTGAGAACTTGGTAATGACCTCAGGGTGGGATTTAGGGGGCATGGTGACCTTGGGATTAATGAGGCACTGAGACAGGGTTTAGGACAGGAAAGGACAGGAAAAGGACTGTGGCTAGTTTCTGGATGGGCAGGAGAGACAGAAGTGCACGTGGCACAGCTGACTCTCCCCCTTCCCCTTTATTTTCCTTCCCACTCTTGTCTCTGACCCTGTAGTTCTTTTTTCCCCAGAGGAAACTGCTCTTTCCCATCTCCCCATTCCCCCTTGCATAGTATGGAATAATATATGGTAGTAGCAGTTTATCCCTCCTGGGAAGGAAGACTGTGAATCAGGGTGGGCTTATGCCTTCACATCCCAGGTCATTAGTTAGCCTAAGACATGGGTATAGGAGAAGGAGGGGATGGACAGAATTTGAGGTTTGGAAGGCACTTATCTGGAAAGTACCATGTCCTGGAAGCCTTCCTTGGAGGAGGATCATTCCCACCACTTCCCACTGTAGCCTACTCTGGTTTTGGATGGCTCTAATTTTTAAGGATGTTTCCTCTAACTTTGTGTCTAAATTGGCCTCTTTGCTCCTGGTTTTACCAAACAGGACAAGTCTAATCCCTTCTACAAATGAGATGGCCTTTCACATACTTGAAGGCAGGTTTCGTGTTCCCCCTGAGTCTTCTCCTCAGCCTAAACATCCCAAATCCCTTCAACCAATTTGACAAGAAAAGGGAGTTCCTGAATACAGGAAGGAGAGGGCAGCAGTACCTGTGTTACCCTGTCTTCTTCCTGCTTTCAACTCCCTAAAGGTAGAAAATATTTCCTCTTTTATCCTGTATCCTGCATTGACCTGCGATTCTGAACTCTTCCAGTCTACAGCCAAGACTTGGTGACCAATCGTCTGAGGATAGATGCTGTCACAGCCTGAGTGTCAGGCCTACGCTCTCCACTTACGGGACCTCAGAATACAGCAGCCCCTCCTCAGCTGGGCTTAGGAGGGCCTGGCCCTCCCCTAGTGTCTGAGGGATCATGAGCCCTTGGCTATCGACATTAACTCCTGCGCCTCCTTTTAGGTGATGCTGCCTCGGCAGCCGGTGAAGCCAGCCCTGCCGTGTCTGAAGATGCCTTATTCAGGGACAAGCTGAAGCACATGGGGAAATGTGAGTGTCCTACTTGGGGCAGCAGGGTTGGAGTGCCCAGGATTCAGGGCTCAGGTACTCCCCTCTGTTGAAGGCCCTCCCTGCCTATGGTAGGCATATAGGGGAGGAGGGAAGGGAGAGGGAGAGAAAGAGGGGGAGGAGGACCACCCAAGATTTTGCCCCATAGCCAGCTCATGATTGTTTGTAGTAAGGTCTTAATGCCAGGCTGGCTTCCCCTAGTGGTTTCCCTCTTTTCCCACTCTGCCTCCCTCCCAACCCCCGCCCTCCCAGTATTTCCTGCACACCAGCTAATCAGCATGTGCTTAGGGAATGCAAACTCATGTTCACATCATCTTGAGCCAAACAGCCAGACATGCTTAGGAAAGTAAATCTGTTGCAGTTGCCAAGCCCCTCCCCCATCCCTTAATACCCCCGCCCTGCCCCACCCCACTTTCAGCCTGGTCCCCTGCAGAAAGTCAAACTTGCATTTCATAGTCCGAACGGAATTTTTTTTAAAAAAAGGATCCATGGTTCCCAGTTATCTGCCCCACACCTCCCTTCCTTCCTGTGTGCAGTTTCTAAAAGTCCTTCTTGACCCTGTACCCGTCTGCCTGAGTGCCCCTCCTTCCCCTGTTCTTTTCAGCCTTTTTCCATGGTAGGCTGTGCCAACCTCCCATCAGTGCTCAGAGGCACCCAATCCCTCCTGTCCTGCTCTCCCTCCTATGTCCCCAGTGTACCAAAGATTGGGTGATTCAGGCTCCATTTCAGGGAAGATCAGGGATTAGTCATGGAAATCCTAGAACCAACCCTGCTTGCTAGGGAGGGAGGGGGAGGGAGCCGAGGAAGGAGGGGGAAGACACTTGGTTTGTTCTGGAGGAGTTAGGAAGAGGAATGCCCGGATCTTTGGCTTGCTGTTTGCCATGGCCTTTGGGGTGTCCTATGCTGCCCCTGCTGGCCAAGTTTCAGATAGCACCCCTTCTTTAGCAGCAGCTGTCCTTATATCCTCTTTGACCCCTTTTACCTTCTGGCAGTCTCTCCCAACAGCTCCTGGCACTACCCAGTGCCCTCTCCTTGCCCCAGCCCTATATCCTCCCCATAGCCCTAGCCCTGTGCCCCTATCCTCTCATAGCTTGGCGCCTTTGTCTTCCTCTCTCTAGACTTACCCTCCCTTTCTTCACCCTTCTCTCTCCTAACCCTGTGTCTTCCTCTTTTAGCCCCATGCTCCCTCCTCTCCCCCAGCCCTGTGCATTCCTCCTCTCTTAGACCCATTCCCCCTTTCCTCTCCCCCAGCCCTGCCCTTCCTCCTCTCTCCCAGCCCTGTGCCTTCTCTTCCCCACCACTGTGCTCTCCTCCTCTCTTAGGCCTGTTCCTCCCTTTCCTTTCCCCCAGCCCTGTGTGTTCCTCTCAGCCCCAGCCCTGTACCCTTTTTCCATGTCCCTTCTGCAGTTAAACTCCAAAGAAGGGGAAGCAAGAAGAAAAATTGGACTAGACTTCTCCTCTGCCCCTCTGGTTCATAGAGGGTTAAGTCCCTGGGCCCCTCCGTGCCAGCAAAAGCCGTTTACACTTCCCTGTCCCTCCTGTTTTGCTCACAGCAACCCGGAGGAAGTTGTTTGAACTTGCCAGGGCCTTCTCTGAGAAGACCAAGATGAGGAAGACAAAGAAAAAACAGTTGTTGAAGCACCAGTCGTATCCTTCCCAGCTCCTCCCTGGCCAGGAGTGTGTGTGTGTGTGTGTGTGTGTGTGTGTGTGTGTGTGTGTGTGTGTGTGTGCGTGTGCGCGCTTAAAATAGAGGATGTGAATGTGGTTTTTAAACAAGGTGAGGCACCTAACTGGATTCTCTGTGGCTGGCTACTTCCCCAAGTCATTCTGGGCTTCTGAGCCCTGTTTCTCAGTCAGTTCAGTTCAGCCTTTGGTTTCTGATTGGCCCTCATTACCAGTAGTTCCTCTTTTAATACTGCCCAGCCCCAGTGTTTGAATGGTGGGGAGGTGAGATGAGGACAGGATTTGGGAATGGAGAGGAATGAAGATAAGCCAAGGGACCATCTCACATCTTCTAAGGGAGACTTGAAGCCATCCTACAACCTTTGTACGAACGATCTCATTTTCTTGTTTCACCAGTTGGGGTGATTCATAAACCTCTCCACCTCCTTACTTCAAATACATCAAGCATAAGCCCCATCTTTTGTCTCATATGCATTAATAAGAGGGTTTTCTTTTATTCCTATCAAGTCCTTGCCTGGGCACAGTCCAGAGTAGGGACTCTGGAATTAAAGGCTGTCCTGGGGATAGATGAGCATGCTGAATAAGGAGTAAAGGTCCTTGAGAGTGTTATGAGAAATAGGAGTCATAGATTATAATATGGCAAGAGGGGACATCACAGCTACCTCATACCAACCATCATGCTCTGTAGTCAATCTCTCCTTCAAGGGGGAGGAGTCAAAGGGGACAGAGGATAGGATAACTTCAGTAGAGGAACTCTGGGATCTAGACTGGGAGCCTGGTGGCTGGAGAGGGCATGAATAGGCAACTAGTAGGTGGTGACTGGAGGGAGCAGAGTGGAATGTTGACAGCAGCATGGGCCAGACAACTGAGTGGTTTTCCTGAATGCAAGGGCAGGCTGGGGACTGCAGCATCTACAGCTAATCTCCTGGATGACGTGGAAGGCCATGCCTGTGGTGAGGACTTAACCTGCTGGGACTGAGACAGGAGGAGGGGCAAAATTTCCAGGAGTAGAGAGCTGACATTTGGGTTCTTGTCCAAAATGGTCAACTCCTTGAAACTGGTGCTTGTCAGCCAGGATGCTGGGAGGCTTCTATGCCCATTGCAAGGTTGGGGATGCACAGAGAGACTGGAGAAGGAGCTCGAGGGGAGTAATTAGTAGAAGTTTGCCAGCTGGAACCCAGAAGCACTGGATAAGCTACCCTGCTCTCCAAAGCTCCAGCCACTAATAAAGCCTCATTCATGATGCTTCCACACATCTTCCGTTGAAGCGCACAATGACAAAACAACTAGTAAACTTGAGCTAAGATCAAAGGGTCATAGGCACCTCAGAGGCCATCCTTCATTTTACAGTTGAGGAAATTGAGGCCCAGGGGAATTATAAGCATCACAGGCAGGATTTGAACCCAGATGCTTTGAATAGTGTTCTTCCCACAGCCATTTTGTATCCAGGGTAGGATAGGTAGGCCATGGACTCTCTCATCTCATCCCAGTAATCTGCAGACTAAGTTAACATGAAAACCTTTGCTGGCACCCTTGGCTCCAAAACAAACATGATAGTTCTCTCAGCTTGAGTTATCCTATACTTCTGAGGCTTGGATGGGTTAAAAGGTGCTGCTTCCTCCAAGCCCACAACCTTATCCCAACCTCATGCTTTGGCTACAAAGGGAGAGACATCTTATTTGATGCCCATCCTGGGTGACTGAGAAGTTTAGTCAGTGAATACCTCTAGGTGGCTGCCGTAAGAGAGAATTGGATGGATGGGTTTTTTTGTTTTGTGGGGTTTTAGGGGGGAGGATAGAGGCCAGGGCTCAGATTTAGGATATAGAAGAGATGTCCTTCATGGAATCACAGAATTTAAAGAGTTGGGAGAAACTCTAGTGGCCATCTGGTTCAAACCCTACATGAATGGAACCCCCACTAGAACATACCCAACAAGCAGTTGTCCAGATACTACTTGAAGACCTTTAAAGACCCGTCACATTTTAGTTTGGTCAACTCTTAATTGTTAGCTTTTATGGAAAGGGGTAGTGGTATAGATTGTGGCCATCTATGGATACTAGAGGAATCTTATGTGATGTGGAAGGATTTGAATGCTGGAAGAGTTCTTAAGATCCTCCAGTTCAGTTTCTCCAGTTTTTAGTTGAGAAAACTGAGGCCCAGAAAAGTAGAAATTATGGCTCTCAGGTCACATATCTACTTAGGGGCAGAGCTATGACTAGATTCTAGGTCACTACAAGGTCACAGGACACAGATGATGTCATGGTGTGAGGTTAAGTAATAAGGTCAATACATGTGAAAAGCATGTGAGGGTTGGGTGGGGGGAATGGAGGCATTTCTCTTTCCTAATCTGGGAAGACTCCTTATTGTGGTGGGTCTGTGCCTGGGCTACAAATGATAGGGGAGGGTGAGACCTACCTTTTTTGCCTTTCAGATGAAGACTTCCGGGCAAGGAAGCAGGAGACACTTAAGGAGGAGGAAGCACCCAGAGAAGGGCAGTAAGAGGTGAGCCAGGATGTTGCTGACACAGTTTTGAGACCAGAGGGTCTACTGTGTCCTCCACAGGGCATCCTTGTAAATCATCCCATGAGAGTGCTGAATTTGGAGGCAAACTCCAGCTGATGTGATGGGTCTGTACTTGGGCAAATGATAGGTTTAAATCCCAGCTCTGTTTCCTACTACATATTGTGACTTTGGGCAAATCTCTTAACCTTTCTGGGTCTCAGTTTCCTCATATGCAAAATAGGGGGTTAGACTAGATGGACTCAAAGGTCTATTTTAGCATCTGCCATCCTCCTCTTCCCAAATAGGTATAACCTTTCTGGGGTCCTACACTCTGCTTTGGGACCACTTTTGGTCAGCAGCTCACTGATGATTCATTCTCACACCAAATATTTATTTAGCACTCACTCTGCACAAGACTAGTTGCTATGAGAGATAAAAAGATGAAAAAGACATGAGACCACTGAGTGAAGTGAGCAGAACCAAACCACACTGTACACAGTGACAGCAACATCATGCAATGACCAACATTGATAGACCTGGCTCTTCTCAGCAATGCAAGGCTCTAAGACAACTCCAAAAGACTCATGATGGAGAATGCTATCCACATCCAGAGAAAGAACTATGGAGTCTGAATGCAGATCGAAGCTTACTAGTCTCCCTTTTTTCTGTTGTTTTTTGTTTTTTTTTCTTTCTCTTGTGGTTTTCCCTTTTGTTCTGATTCTTTTTTTTACAATATGACTAATGTGGGAATGTGTTTAATATGATTGTACATGTATATTTAATTATATACATTATATACGTGTACATGTATATCAGATTGCATGCTATCTTGGGGAGGGAGCAGGGGAGGGAAGGAGAAAAAAAATTTGGAATTCAAAATCTTATAAAACTGAATGTTGAAAACTATCTTTACATGTAATTGGAAAATATAAAATACTATTAAATGGGGAAAAAATAAAAAATCTTTCAAAAAGGCATGGGACCTACTCCCACGCATCTCACAGTTCAGACCAGATATGTACACAAATAACCACAGCACAGAATAGAATGTCAAAGGGCATCTTCGCAGGCACAAAATGCCAGGTGAATCCAAAAGAAGGAGAGATCACTTCCAAGAAGAACCAAAGAAGACTTGATGGAGAAAGAGGCGTCGGAGCTGGGCCCTGAAGGGTGGGTAGGCAGGGATTCCAGGCAAAGAGCCCAATGTAGACAGAGATACAGAAATAAAAACCAGCACCACCTGAAGACTTTCTTGAAGACTTTGGTGTCCCAGGCCATTCTTTCTCTTTCTCTTACTGTGGCTTTTCCTTTTCTCCTCAATGGAGCTAGCCTCTTCCCTTAAGCTAGATTTAAGCACTAGAGACAGAGACAACAGCAATAGAAGACCAAGCGCTGGGGAGGTTTAAACTCACCAAGTTACAGAATTTCAGAGTTAGAAGGGATTTTAGTTGCCATCTCATCTGACTCATAATTGAACAAAAATCTCTTCTACGACACACCAAGCCAATGGTCATCTAGTCTTTGCTTAAAGACCTTCAGTGTGGAGGAACCCACTCTCTCAAGCAGCCCGTTCCATTTTTGAACAGCTCTCTTTGGTAGGAAGTTTATCCTGACATCAAGTCTACATGTTGCTGCTTTGCAATTCCCACACATTGCTCCTGGAGCCAAACAGTCTAATCTAATCTGAGAGTCTGTTCTGTCCTTAATATGACAGCCCTTCAAATACTTGAAGACAGCATTCTTTTCCCTTAAGCCTTCTCTTTTTCCAGGCTAAACATCCACAATTCCTTTAACCAGTCTCAGTCTACTCAAGAAGAAAAATTATCCAAACTTGAAACATTTAGAGCAGAGGTTCTTCACCTGAGGTCTTGGGACCTATTTAAAAATATTTTTATAAGTATTTCAATATAATCAGTTTCCTTTGTAATTCTATTGTTTTTATTTTTATGCATTTAAAAACATTTATTCTGAGAAAGGCTCCATAGGCTTCACCAGAGTGCTGAAGAGCTCCATGAACAGAGAAAGTTTAGGAACCCCTGGTCTAGAGAACCAATTGAAGGTAGCAATTTGGAGACATCTGTTCCCCTTGGGGCTCTGCTTAGATAAAGTGGGCCTGATCAACCATCCAAGAGAGCCACCTTCCCCTGCTCTGTCACAGCCGCTCCTCATTCAGAGCTCTCCCTCTCCATGCCCTAAGATTGGTCTAGTTTCTGGATTGTTGTCACCTTCAGCAAATGGATAGCATAAGTAGATTATGTAATATTTAAGCATGTACAGTAGTGTTCTATATGGACATTATGAAGGATGTGCTATCCCTTAACTCAGCTTATAGGTGAAGAGATGATAAAATAAACACGCAGAGTACTCGGCAAAGACCAGAGATACCTATAATCTATCTGTGTGAGCACTGCTCCTTCAGCTGGACCCTCACTGTAGCCCAACAGTCCTTTTAGATGTCTCTTCTTGACTCCCTGTCATACTCCCTGCTCTTCAGTCTCCTTCCCCCAGCAGATAATGTGACCTCCTATTTGTGTGAGATGGATTCATCTAGTGTGAGCTTCCTCTACAATCCTTTTCTATATTTCACAATACCTCTTATCTTCACCCATCCTCTCCTGCTTTCCTCTGTTCTCACAGGAGAAGAATCTCTTCTCTTTGCCAAGGTTAACCCTGCCCATTGTATTCTGATCCTGTTCTTTGGACATCTCCTCCAGGATCTCTCCCCCTCTCTCTCTCTCTCTCTCTCTCTCTCTCTCTCTCTCTCTCTCTCTCTCTCTCTCTCTCCCTCTCCCTCTCTCTCTCTCCCTCTCCCTCTCTCTCTCTCCCTCCCTCCCTCCCTCTCTCTCCCTCCCTCCCTCTCTCTCTCTCTCTCTCTCTCTCTCTCTCTCTCTCTCTCTCTCTCTCTCTCTCTCTCTCTCTCTCTGTCTCTCTCATCTCTGTTTCCCTCTGTCTCTGTCTTGGATTTTCACTTTCTCAGTCTCAATCGTTTCCTTCCTTCTGACCCACAAACAGTGCTCAGATCTCACCAGTCCTAAAAAAGCCTTTCTTCATCCTTGCTACTCCTTTTAATTGCTATATTTTATCTTCTAACTTCAGTGCTAAAATTCTCAATAGTCATCAACATTCACTCTTCTTTATGAATTTATTCTATTTATTTATTCCTTTGTTCTATTTGATCCAATTTCTTCCAATTTCCACCTTGATCCAAGTCACTTATGACCTTCTAATATTTAAATCCAATTGGTTTTCTTAGTCCTTATCCTCCGTGACTTCTCTATAACATTTTACACTACTTGATAACCTTCTTTTCTTGGCTTCACTATATGCACCTGTTTCTTCTTCTGCCTCTTAATGCATTCTTTCTTTTTATTTCTAGTAGCTCTTCTTCTCCCCCTAAAATATGAGTGTTGACAAAGGTTCCATCTTTGGTACTCTTCTCTTCTCTTTCTATACTCTCCCATTGCAATTTCATCTACTTCCATGACCTCAATTAACATTTTCATGCAATTACTCTTCAAACTTGTATTCCAGTCTTTCTTTTCTCCCTCCTAAATGTCTCATTTCCAGCAGCCAATTAGACTCATCATGCTTAAAAATGAACTTACCATTGCCTTCTCCAAACCATTTCCTCCTCCTAATGGCCCCATCCATATCTGTTAGTGGAACCACCATTCTACTAGTCACTCATGCTTGAAACCTCAAAATTATCCTTGTTTTTTTCCCTCTTTTCCCCCACATCCATAAGTCCTGTGGCATTTATTGCCTTTACATGTGCACTTCCATCCTCATCAAAGCCTACATTGCCTTTAACAATTAATTTTATTATTTTGAGATATTTTTATGCATTATTGCTGCCTTTTGTTTTTATATCACTGTTATTTCTAGCTATTCCCCTCTTCTACTCAGTGAGTCTCCCTTTGTAACAAAGAAAAACCAGCCATCTGACTGCATATACAATATTCTGCATTCACAGTCTCCTATCTCTCAGGAAAGGAAGGAGGTGCATTTCTTGGGGCCAAGATTAGTCATTACAATTACTCAGCATTCAGCTCTTTTAATGTCTTTTTTTTCTTTCCCATTTATATTATTGTAGTCATTGTGTTGATTGTTTTCCTGGTTTTGCTTACTTCACCTTGTGTTAGTTTATACAAGTTTTCTCTTGTTCCTCTGAATTCCACATATTCATCGCTTCTTATTGTCTGATGTAATTGGACAATTATATTCCTAATATTCCATTACATTCATTAACCACAGTTTGTTCAGCTATTCCATAATTGATGGACACCCACTTAGTTTCTAGTATTTTGCTACCACAAAAGCTGGAACAAACATTTTGGTAAATAATGGGGCCTTTTCCCACCTATCTTTGACCTTCTTGGGGTAGGTGCCCAGCAATAGAATCTGGGTCAATAGATACGGATTTTTTTTTTTATCATTTTTCCCTTCATATAATTTCAAATTGTTTTCCAGAATAGTCGGACCCTTTATTACCCTTTGCTCAAACTATCAAAATGACCTCATAACCATTCTCCAAACTAGTTTCTTTTCCCTTTCAGTCTATTCTACTCATGGCTGCTAGAAGGATCCTCCTAAAGAAGCTCTACTTATGGTTTTCAGTCACGTCCAACTCTTTGTGACCCCATTTTGAGCTTTTCTTTGAGCTACTGGAGTGGTTTGCCATTTCCTTCTCCGGGTCATTTTACAGATAAGGAAACTGAGGCAAATAGGGTTAAGTGACTTGCCCAGGGTCACACATTTAGTAAGTATCTGAGGCCAGATTTGAACTCATGAAAATCGGTCTTCCTGACTCTAGGCCCAGCACTCTATCCACTGTTTAAGTTATTCCCCCAACTCAAAAACTTTCAATAGCTCCCTGTTATCTACTGAATGAAGTTCAGTGTTTTACTCTTGTCCCCACATACTTGGACTCCAGCCAAGTTAGACTATTCACATGTGTCTAATCCACTTTTTCCCTCTACCTAAAAATCCCTCCCTACCACTGTCATCGTCACCTGTCAAAACAAAAGCCTAGATCAAATACCACTAGCTGCACATGAAACTCAATAGATGGAAGAACCCTGGGAGCTGGGAGACCATCGAGAACTCTGACGATCCCCAAAGAAGGGCACTCGAAATCCTTTCCTTGTTGAGTTCTGTCTATGAGTTCTGGGTCTCCTGCAAGTCTAGTGCTCAGGGATACTCACTTAGTAGTAGAAGCCATTTGGAAATCCCTCTCTTTCACCTACTCCAACAAAACCCTTTTAATTTTTTTCCCCAGGTGCTGGAGTTCACTGGAAATGAAACGTCCTAATGGGGCAGCCCAGATAGTGAAGGCCTGTCCTTAGCTGCCCAGACCTGCTGCAGTGAGACGGAGGGTGTTTGAGCATTGAGGCACCAAGTTTCTCTGTTCCTCAGAAGCCTTGCTTCTAGCTGCCTCTTGTCCTTCCCCTCTTGTGCAGGGTGTTGGAACTTTGGTATTGCCATATTGTGATTGGAGGAAGCACCTGGGGCCCCACCAAGGGCAGCAACCAATCACAGTCTTCTCTTGTAGCTGTGTTATTTTAGGGGCAATGAGCGGAGGGGAACCTTCCCCTCCGTTTTTGTTTTCTTTTTTAATGTCTCTCTGTAGCCTCTTGGCTTCCCTTTCTTCCTTCCCACCATTCCTCTCCGAAAGGAGCAGGTCCAATCAGTGGGAGGGCTGGACACATAAAGCACAGGCCCAGGTTAATGTATGGGCAAGAACAAAATGTAGCCTCTTCTTCCCTCCTCAACTCCCCATCTCTCTCTCAGATTAGTCCAAACTCCACTGAAGAGTCGGAGACATGATCTAATCCTCCCTGCTCCACTCCTGGTACTCTGCTCTCTTCCTTTTCTGGTCCCCTGGCTTCTGTTTTTCAGGATGAGACCTATCTTCCATCCTTGTCCCCTCCCCAGAGATCCCTTGGCCAAGATGAAGGAACAGTATCAGATGGGAAAAACCACACTTGGACTGGGGTAGCAGAAGGGGATGATGACCTGACCCCAAGACATGGACCCTAGAGCCTACCTGGGAGTAGTTTCCTGAGGGTCTACTCTAAGGTTGTCATTTCTCAGAGGAAAGGGCATAGAGGGATAGCTCTAGAACTGGAAAGGACCTTAGAGTCATCCAGTCCAACCCATTCATTTTCCAGATGAGGAAGGGGCCCATAGAAATTCATTGATTCACCCAAGGTTACACAAGTATTTTTTTTTTTGGCAGAAATGGTATTTGAACTTAGGTTCTGAGTCTAAGCTCAGAGCTCTGTGTTCAGTATTCTTCCCACTGTGCCATAAGCAGAGAAACAGTGTCACGGGAAGAGCAATCTGCTGTCACATTGGAGGGTGGTGGTAGTGGTGGCGGCAGGGGTGGTGGTAGGGGGCCCTCTATAATAGTCTGGAGTTAGGACAAGGGCAGGTTGGAGCACTGGCTTCCCTTACTTCTGCTGGGAAATAGAATGGAGGCAAGTTGTCCAATTTGGAATCAGTGGAAACAGAGAGCTTTTGGGCATGGTGACAGTGCTCTGCTTTGGGATGACTTCTGGGCTACGCTCCTAAGTTCGGGATCCCCTGCCAGGCCAGCTGGTGTGGGAAAAACGAAAGGAAGGGAGAGGGGCTCTAGGATAGAATCCTAGAGGCTAGTTGGCAGTGGAGGGGGTGGGTTTCCCCTGTCCTCAGGGGAGCACTGGTGTTAAGCTGACTCCCAGGTCCTGAGGGAGGAGCTCAATGCCCATAAGCAGAAAATGTTAAACTGTGAGACCTTCAGAGCTAGAAAGAACAGTGGGGGAACAGCTGTTTTTTTTATGCAGTGTGCAGCAGCAAGGGGTGGAGTTGCCCTGAATATTACCCGCTTATCCCTGAAAGCTGGCCTCAGAGCAGAAGTGCAGGCTGAGTCCTGTTTGGGGTGGGGAGGAAACCTGTTCTCAGGAGAAAGCTCTCCAGGGGGCCTGTCTACCCACCCACTCGCTTACCTCCTCATTGTCCCAGGGAGTTCACTGTCTTTGCCTCTTCACATTAGTGGGTTGGCACCGGGATGGGGAGAAGCTGATCTGAGGAATCTAGAAGCTTGGAAAAGAGAGAGCTTTGAGGGGAGGGGCTTCCAGCTTCACTAAAGCATTAAATCTCTACTGCCCAGTATGGAGCTTGGGCTTTGTTGTTAATGGTGGGGTAGTAGGAGGAAGCCTACAGCTGATTTGGGGGGACCTCTGTTAGCACTAAGCCAAGATAAAATGATGAGATTATTCTTATAGTATTCTTTCCCCTAGTGAGGAGAGAGAGAGAGAGAGAGACAGAGAGAGAGACTGACTGACTATGTGACTATGGGGGGGGGGGCAGGGTTTACAGGCTCATGATTTATCCCGCTTCCAAGTTGCAGTGCTTTCTTCCCCAAACCCTGGGGGGCCCAAAGAAGGAAGGATTCCATAGTGAGTGGTCCCCCGGCCAGTGGTTGGGCCTGGAATGTGCTCAGGTCTGCTAGCTGGCAAGCTCAGGCCCTGGAATGTGCCTGCAGCTACCAGGGGGAGAGGAACCGCTTATGAAATGTAACCAAGTTTGGAAGTGTGTGCAGAGGTTGCTAAGGGTGAAGTTGGAGTGGGGCCACAGGTAACAGAAGGCGTCTTGGCAAAGGAATGAATAATTCACAGCTGAGGAGGGGAAGGCCACCTTTTTTTCCTCCTTTTTCTCCTCCCTCCCTTTTGCTCTTCTCCTCCCTTTCCCTCGTAGCTGCCAAGCTCTCTTCCTCACCCAGGTCCCACCAGTAAAAGGATCTGTTTGGTTTTGAGGTTTCCCCCAAGGCATCCCTATTCCTTTGTGCCTTCCTTCTAGCTCTGCATGGTCAAGAAGAGGGCAAGGCTCCAAAGTTGCCAGACCCTTCCATCTAGAGGTCAATGCCCCCACCCCCAGTCAGCCAGAGGGACAGCTCTTTCCCCTTCCACAATAACAATTTGGAATAGGCTAAAGGCCCAAGAGAAATCTGAGGGTCCCCACCCTGGGGCTCCTAGAATCTATTATTCTCCATCGGAAAGGGAAAGGACCTGCTTTGGCAATCACATTATCCAAAACTAAATGGAAAACAAAACACCCACCCTGCCCCAGTTTCTTTTGAATCTTACGAGAGAGGGGAGAGAAGGATGCTGAGATAGAAGTAGCCAAAGCAAGCTACATTCAGAGACTCATTTCTCCTGCAAATGAAAAGTTGTTCACTTCTAGCAAAGTCTGTGCAGTGAGGAATATATGACAATTCTTTTCAACAAACAAACCCCCAAGCACTTGGGGAATTCCTAAGGTGGAAACCCAATCTTGAGCTTTGTGAGTGTTGGTTGCTATGTTAGGTTTTGTTTCCACATGTGCTGTTGTTGTTGTTTTTTCTTAAAGATGTTTAATAGGAATTCATATAATAAAGTCATGGTGTACTCTTAACTTCCAGTCTTGAGTTGAGTGGGCCCAGCAGGACAGCAGGAGAAAGCCTGGGGACAAGACTGACCTCAAGGGACTGGAAGCCCAGGACATCCACTTCCTTTCTTCCTCGTTTCCTGCTTCTTTCCCATTTTCTTGCCCCGGCTTTTTCTCCAGGAAGGTGCATTTGTAAGGGGTTAAGAGACTCCTTTCACAAGGACGGTGATACCTGTTTCCAGGTCGGTGGACTCTTAATTATCTGCTTGGCTTCTCCCATCACCAAGCACCTTTCCCCAGGCTGTCCTCTTCCTGTCACCCAGCCTGTGTTTGCTTAGGGAAAGTAAACTACTTTTGCTATTAGCTTAAGCAAAACACAACTGGGAAGGCTGGTCTCTTACAAAAGCATTATATAATTTTATTCCCAAGTCAAACAGGAATTTTTTTTTTAGATTGGGGTCTTTTGGAACAAAGTCACTGACTCCACACAAGTGCTGGATCACCTAGTACCTGAGTCCACTCAAACACAGGTGTTTGGGACTAAAGCAAGGAAAGGCAACAAGCATGTATTGGTTGCTTACTGTGTGCCAGGCACTGTATCAAGTGCTGGAGATACAAATAGAAGCAAAAGAGAAGCACAGCCCCTGCCCTCAAGGAGCTTACATACTATGGGGGGAAGAAAACACAGAAAACGAAGCTAAGAAGCAGTACAGGGTGGAAGGTATTGGTGTGGGGGCTAAAGTCAGAAGTAGAGCTGGGAGGGGGGATGGCTGGCTGCCTGGGGTCTCTCCCCAAAATAGAGGGGGGCCCCCTTACAAGGAATTCACTAATAGGAAGAGGGGGCAGGCATGCCTCAGGGATGAACTAGGGTGAGACAGCAGCTGAGTCATGGAAGTGAAGTTCAGGAGGAGTATAGGCTTTGGAATTAGGTTCTGGGATGAGGTGATTTCTAAGATTTCCTCTGTTCCAAGGATTTTTTGACTCCAGAAATCCTTGGCCTTTTCTACTTCTGGGAATGGGGCAATTGGTCCAGTTGTCCCCACTATGGATGACTAGAGCAGCTTCATCTTCCTGAGGGGAAGGTCTCTCGCTAGCCAGGACAGACGACCAAGTAGGAAAGGGACAGAGGAAAGGGACAGGGGCTGCTTTGGAGATGAAGAAGAGTGCCTCAGGCAAAGGAGGCAAAGTGGGAGAAGGCAGCTGGGATGGAGCAGCACTGAACCTAGGTGTCATGCAGAGAAGAAATAGGCAGGTGTCCACAAGGTCATGCTGTGAAATGCGGGACACCCACTCAAAAGCATCTCCCTAGTGGCTGCCTTAGTCTGCCTTTGTCACCATTTGAATTGTTTGGGTCAAGAAACAGGTTCCAAGAGTGGGCCATTAAAATGCAAATGTTAACTGGGATAGTAACATATTAACTGGGCTAATATCTATTATCAGAGGATAGATTAGTTCTTGTTTTCCAAACTGCTCTGTGGAATTTTGATTCTCTGTGAACCAGAAATAGGGGTTCCACGAGAATATTTCAGTTCATTATTATTAAGCAACTCCCATGTGTAAGAAGGGAGAGATACAAAGATAAAAGCAGCATTCCTGTCTTCAAAGAGCTTACCTTCTTGGGGAAAGGGAGGGGCGAATAAAAAGCATATACGAGTAAATACAGAGCATATGTGAAGTAATTTAAAGAGGGGTAGTTGTAATCATAATTTGGATTGGGGAGGGGAGCTGGGACCAGGAAAGACCTCATGTTAGAAGGCAGTACCTGAGGGATTGGAGTCTGGGTAGAGGAGGTGAGGAGAGAGTGTATTCTAGACTCCAGAGAAGGTCATGTACCAGCACCAGCTAATAGACCATTTTGACAGTGGCCAAGAACGGGGAATAATATGAAATAAGACCGGAAAAGTAGGTCAGAGTCAGATCGCGAAGAATTTTAAATGTCAAACTGAGGATTTTTCATTTTATTATAATGGTAATGGGGAGGTTTTTGAGTAAAGATTTTTTCCCTGCTAAAGTATAACATGTACACATCAGCATTACTCATGTGCAGTATTTTTTGGTATAAAATAGCTTTAATTTCCTCAATTTTGCTTTAACATTTTCCCCACTTCCTCTTCTCTCAGTCATTCTACCTGTGGTCTGCCCTCTCCCCCTACCCCCCAACCCAGCATTTATGGGTTCCCTAATATTTAAAGCCCATAATTATATTAGGGCTAAATTCATTTGGGAAATGCTGGGTTAGTTTTTTGACTTATCTGAAAATGGGTTAATTTTGATGGGAAGGGAAGGGAATAGAAAAGTGAGTTTGGTGTTTTCTGGGTGGAGGGGGCAAGTGCTGCCCAGGGTCAAAAGGGACCAAAGGAAGGTGCTAAAGACTAAGAGAACTCCCACCAACCACACCTTTGCCTAGGGATGGTTCTGCAGCTAAAACTGAGCCTGTTCCTACCTTCTGTCCTCTGTGCTCCCCATAAACACGGAATGTGTGGGAGGACTGTGGACATAGTATGGGTGTGTGTGTGGGGGGGGAGGATAGAGCATGGGAAGGAAGAAGGGGACATCTCAGTTTTCATTTCCGATGGCCACAGGTAGTACAGAGGCCCTGAAGTCCAGCTGGCAGTCAAGATGGCCTTAGGTGGAGGGTGGGAGGGGAGGAAAGTGGTGAACAGAGTCAGTGAGGCTGGGGAGGGGAACCCAAGAGTCTAGAAATGCCTCTTTCAGAACAACAGCCGTTCTTGGAATGTCTCAGAAGTCAAATTCCTGGAAATGCTTTCTCTTGTGAAAAGCCTATTCACTCCCGGGGCAATAACCTTGGCATTAGCTGCTCTATCCATAAAGAGTTCCTGGGACAGGCCAGCTGCAGAAGAAAGTAAGAAAGTCAAGAGCAGGGGGGATTGACTGCCACCTGGTGGCTGCTGGTAGAAGCAACGACGCCTGGATGTTCCAAAGGCTCAATTACCCATTTTCCCTACAGTAAGATAAAGGCATCATCTAGATTCTAATCTCTTTTCCCTCCCTATGGATCAAAGGCACATAGATTTGGAAGCAGAAGGGACTTCATAGGTTATCTAGTTCAAGCCTCTCATTTTACAGATAATGAAACTCAGGTCCAGAGAGTATCTTGCCCAAGGCCACACAGGTAGGGTCAAAACTTAGAATTCTCTTACAGGTCTAGACTTAGAATTTTGGTACTAGACAAGATCTTAGACACCATTTAGTCACAGAATTTAAATCAGAAGGTATCTCAGAGGCCAGTTGGTCCAATACACGTTTGACTGAAGATATCCTATTGCCACATACCCAACAGCCTTTCCTGAAGACTCCTGATGATGGGGAATTTTCACTACCTACTAAGGCAACCCATTCCACTTTGGGAGAGCTCTAATTGTTAGAAAGTTGTTTTTTTGTTACACCAAATCTAAATATTTATTTTTGAAGCTTCCAACTCACTCCTAGTTCTGCCTCTGGGGCCAAGTGGAACAATTTTAATCCCTCTTTCATGTGACAGTCTTTCAAATGCTTGAATAAAGCTATCATAGCCTCCTTAACTCTTCTCTTTTCCAGACTAAATATTCTCACTTCCTTAAACTTAAACCATGTATGGTATGATCTCAAGGACTTTCCCCAGACAGCCAGGTGACAAAGTGATGGACCTGGAGTTAGGAAGAGCTGAGTTCAAATCTTACTTCAGTTACTTATTGGTCATGTGACCTCAGACAAGTTACTTAACCTGTCTGCCTCAGTTTCCTCATCTGTAAAATGAGGAATAATAATAACACCTTACCACCCAAGCTTGTGAGGGCAAAATAAGATATTTGGAAAATGCTTTGCAAGCCTTAAAGTGCTTATACAAATGTTAGTTATTATTGTGGTTATTATTATTCGCCATCTTGGCCACACGCTCTAATTTCCTCTAGATAACATAATGAAAGCCATTGGTCTTTTCTAAAATATGGCACCAAGATCCCAATAGGATACTCCAGATAATGGGGTCTGACATGAATAGAATATAGTGGGCTATTCCCCTCTTAATGTAACCAAAGGTCTCTCTTTTTTTAAGTTGCCAAACCAATGCTGTTGGCTTGTATTGACCTTTGCTGTATATGAAAACTCCCAAATCTTTTTCAAATGAACAATCTAGTCCAACTACCTCATTTGTACAGAAAGAAACTGAAATGATTTACTCAAGAACACAGAGCCCATTAATGGCCAAGCTAGAACACAGGCACAGGTCTCTTGGCTCCTGGTACAGTGTTTTGTTTTGTTTTGTTTTGTTTTGCTAAGCAATGGGGTTAAGTGACTTGCCCAGGGTCACACAGCTAGTAAGTGTCATGTTTGTGAGGCCGGATTTGAACTCAGGTCCTCATGAATCCAGGGCCAGTGCTCTATCCACTGCACCACTTAGCTGCCCCCTGGTACAGTGTTTTTTGAGTCATTGCAGTGTAGTGGGAAGAGTATAGGATACGGAATTAGAATTGGGTCTAAATTTCGACACCGACTGATGCTTAGTCACTTAACTTTTTGGAATCTGTGTTTTGGGGAATTAGGGCCACTCACGGTGACTAAAAGCTTTTGGTGTGAATTCTTCTGTTTGGTGTCCCGAAGTTATATCCAAGATCTTTGGATCCTTTGACAGTTAAAGTCTCTCTGGGAATGATAATGTGGTAACTCTGAACACACAATGGAGAAGAGAAAAAGGAGGAAGCCTGTACAGCAGCGAGCAGCTAGGTGGCTCAGTGGATAGAGTGCTGGGGTCTGGAGTCAGGAAGACCTGAGTTCAAGTCTGGCCTCAGGCACTTACCAGCTGTGTGACACTGGGCAAGTCACTTAACTGTTTGTCTCAGTTGCATCATCTGTAAAATGAACTACAGAGGGAAATAGAAAAACTCCAGGATTTGCCAAGAAAATCCCAAATGGGATCACAAAGAACCAGACATGACTGAAACAACTGAAGAACAACTGTACATGAGACTTCTATATCCCAACAAACTTTATTATGGGATGTTCTCTACTGATGACTGAAGATGGCACTG